GGCCATCAGGTAACTCATAATTTCCCAGAAGAGAACCCAGATATACATTAATTTCATGTTATATATTATCATATTGTGAGACACTTTTCTGCGGGTTATCCCATGGTGCTAATGTTAGTTTAAAGGCCTGCAATCACATCGTAATGGGTCCAAGTTGACAATTTAATGTTAAAGACCCAATCTGTTCCACATGTGAGGCTGTGAGCCATTCCTTCAGCATGTGTCATGGAGACATAAGAAAACAGGTCTGAACATGCTATAATTTGTCAAGCAGGTAGGTCAAGAAACCCCATCAAGACTGTGAGTTTATATTAGGAAATGAGAACCTCCAGTCATCTAATCTGGAAACCTTTCAGTTATTGCTTACAAACTGGCTATATTCAAACGCAACCATGGTTTAGTATTACAGTGGTACCTCAGGTTACATACGCTTCAGGTTACATATGCTTCAGGTTACAGACTCCACTAACCCAGAAATAGTGCTTCAGGTTAAGAACTTTGTTTCAGGATAAGAACAGAAATCGTGCTCTGGCGGCACGGCGGCAGTGGGAGGCCCCATTAGCTAAAGTGATGCTTCAGGTTAAGAACAGTTTCAGGTTAAGAATGGACCTCCGGAACGAATTAAGTACTTAACCTGAGGTACCACTGTATAAGAAAGAGCCTTAATGAGCTTCAAGTCCCCCTCTCCCCTGTCTTTCCCCACCATGGCCACGAGGAGGATATTAGAAGCTTCTGTTTTAGATTGGGGGTCAGACAGTATCTCACATTGTAGCTAAACTGTGGTTACTCTTAACTATGGTTGGTTGAAACAGGCCAGCTTCATACATTTGGGCTTGAAGTTAGTTCGTCAGCTACATGCAGTTAATATGAACTGAATTAAAGCCATAATAAGATTAAGGATTAGCCAAACCATTTGATCAAATGACATAATAAACTGTGGTTAATGTGGAGCAAAAATGAAAGCTTCCAACCTCCTCTTTGCAGCTGCATCAGAAGAGAAGACAGAGGGTGCGAAACCAATGCTCACTGTTGCTTGCAGAAGATCCCAAATTTAACCCCCATCATCTCCAGGCAGGGCTAGGAAAGACACCTACATAAAACCCTAAAAAATCACTGCTAGTTCAGTGTAGACAATGCTGAGCTGGACGGATCATTGGTCCAACTCAGTATAAGACAGTTTCCTACATTCACTTCCATTTTAACTGAAATTGCCAGCTAATATGTCCAAACCAGCCTATTCTATATGAGTCAAAATTCAAAATTATTTTAAGCTCTCTTTCTCTTGAATAAATGAACGAGGTAAAACTAGAGATACTGAGCCCATTATAGAATGCTAGAAAAAGGTTGTTGGTTCATGACCACAGGATGCAACAAAACAAGGTTTTAATAAATAAATAAATTGTTATTTCAACAGTTTAAACATGATTCCAAAATTGGTTTTTGTCTTTTATTAAGCACCAATAACTGGGCAGAAATACATGTAGTTCTATGTAGAAGGAACTGATTTCCATGGAAACCTTATGCACATGACAGGCTTAAAAAAGAAGAAGAAATCATTGCTTTCCTGGTGACATTTTAGCAATTCCAAAGGTATTAATATTGCAAGTGGACCTGAAATTTGTGAGATGCAATTGTGTGTGTATGTATGTGTGCATGTGTTAAAAGAAGCCAAGTCTGACTTTTCATCTTTTTAACTGTAACTTATGAAAGTTCAGTCACCAGTTCTAGAGTGTAACCCAAAAGTTTCTTGCAACTAAATGAGTTTGTGGCGTGCCTGATTTGAAACATATGTGACTCTGGTGAAAAAAGCAAATGAGCTCCAGTATAATACATAATAAATTCCCTATACATTTGAAGGATTGCCTTGCTTTCATGCATTCCAAATTTGCAGGCAATTTTCTTGCTGCCGTCCGAGACTGCCTTACAAACTGCTGGCAACTAATTGAGAGAGAAATGTGGCAGCGTCTCTGAAATGCTTTCCTGAAAGAGTGTAACTGGTGAACCTTGCTATCTTGATTAGTACATTCATTATGAAGCAGGTGTTAGTGGACTATGTTAATGGGCTTCAAGGAAAGGTCAAGAAGGTTTGACTGTCATCTCTTCCCCTCAGATTATTGAATATTTCACAGCTCTCCTGATTTGAATACGTCTGTGGAGGATTAGCATCTTTCCAGAGCGGAAATGAGAAGGCACTTTTCTTTCTCCCTTCTTTCCTTTGCAATTGTCAGATAAAAAGTGAATTCGAAGCAAAGGTGCGCAGTTAACAAGTCAGAAGGTGTGGGGGTGGAATGATATTCAACCAAGAGCTAACACCTTGGCGGTTTTCAGTCCTCATGACATTCTAATACTGGGTGTGTACACACAGCCATAAAGTGCATTTGCTTTCTTCTGCAGACACTTTATCTACCATATTGGTGGTAGATCATTCTTCTGGTGTTTTCAAAGAACCATTCTGCAGAATGGTTATAAGCCATCTTACATTTAGCAATGCATTCCGAAGCGTCTCTTCCCTTGTGTCGAAACTAAGAGCACTTTCTCTTAGAACCTCCTATTGGGTTAATGTGCCATGATGTGGCTGGACTACATTTGTATAACCCCTCCATCACATTTCCATGAAGATTCACCTGAGAGATACCTGAGCCATTTGATGTTCAGGATTGCCTGGAAGGATTTGGTTTGTTTCAATAATTTATTATTATTATTATTATTATTATTATTATTATTATTATTATTATTTTACACTCCGCCCATCTGGCTGGGTTTCCACAGCCACTCTGTGCAGCTTCCAACCAAATATTAAGAACACAATAGAGCATTAACCATTAAAAACTTCCCTAAACAGGGCTGCCTTCAGATGTCTTTTAAAAGTAAGATAGTTGCTTATTGCCTTGATATCTGATGAGAGGGCATTCCACAGGGCGGGCGCCACTACCAAGAAGGCCCTCTGCCTCTGGTTCCCTGTAACCTCACTTCTCGCAGTGAGGGAATCACCCAAAGGCCCTCAGAGCTGGACCTGGGTGTCTCATATATTTCTCCATGTATGGGGAAATATATGGATACAGTATTTCAATCTTTGGAAAGTTGCATAGGCTTCACAAATGTTTTACTTTTTAAGAGAAGGAGCAGAAACACCCAGCATTAACTCTTTCTCCTCTTTGCTAAAACCCCATTGGAAATGAGGTGGCTCCAGGCATATCATATTTTTATTTTATTTGAATTTAAATAGCGTCCTATACCCAGAAGTATATAATGAATAGAACAACCCAATAACACCCCCCAACACCCCCCCACACATTTTAAAGGGGCATAGGACATACTTTATTTTTAATAAAGTAATCCCTTCATTTTATCGCAGTCTCAAAGTTTTGCTCAACTTAAAAGCTGCAGTCACACTTTTTTCCCACCAAGAACTGTATTATCTGACTACTTATGGCAGTTCAATAGATTTGAGGCCCATCAGTTTTGTGCATTGCCTTTCAACACAATGAAGCAAACGTTTCCAGGCCTCTCTTGTCAGTACTCAGAGCTCCCCTAGCTGCACCCCTCACTGGCTCTGTTCTATATCTTCCTTCAAGACTTTTGCATGACTGAAATATGTCCTTCAACTATGACAATGCCTCTGGCTTTCCTCAATGAAGAAATGTATGTGTGCAGATTTCTATAGTATTTGCTCACAGAAATACCCATTCTTGCAGGGCTGGAATGTAGGAACGAAGGCAAGAGTCATAGCCATTGCTCTGTTCCACTTTTGTCTCTAGCCTAGGCCACCACTGAAATGGGCTCCCCAGAAAGTTAACCATGAGGGAATTTGGCCCTCAGACTGAAAAGTGTTGCCCATCCCAGCACTACACTATACTTTCTTTCTACCTTGGGCCAATATTCTACTCTAAGCCTTGCCTACCTCATATGGTTGTTGTGAAGATGTACAGGGAAGTATAAAATGGCTACCAATTTGGATGCACTGCTTGCAGGGATCAAATTTTGGTTCCTTTAACCAGAGTGATGCATCATTTTACCATGTTTCTCTGCTCCCTCCCATCCAAATTAGTGCAGCTCCAAGTATTCAACTGATCTTAACCTGGCATTCTCATTGGTTTAATTGAGCATGCTCCAAAATAAATGTGTACCGGTTACTGATTCCTGAGGAGTTATTTTAGCCTGTAACAGCTTGGAGGTTCCCTATGTCTTTACAGCCTGTTTCCTTTGTCTCTACTGGGCCTCTGTCCCCCTTTCTAGGGCTGCTATATCCTGCAGGTTTCCCCAACATTCATTCTGTCTGATGTCCTGCAGTTGGGTTCCATCCCTCCCATTAGGCTAAAGAATGAGGGTGCCCACTCTACTCCTTTCCCCACAGGTAGAGCCTCCAGGCAATGTCCAAACATGGTCTTCTCAGAAGCCAATGCCTAGTTGGCACTTTGGTGGAGCCTACTTAAAGGGCAGGGTGCCAGCAAAAGACAAACAAGCTCTGGCAGTCCATCGCAGTGTGGTACACATAAACATAGGCAGACTGTAGTGACCAATGATGCTGCTGAGCCCAGTATTTTTTTACTTCCAGCTTGGATAAGCTTGGTCAGAGGATACAGAACGATTCTCATAAGCTGTGTTGTCCATGGTTTAAATCAATCTTTTTCATACCATATTGAAAACATAGCTGACAATGCCATTGCAATTGGGGATATTTAATAACAATGTGCTTCTCGGGAAGCAGAAAAATGACAGTTCAAAAACTGTTCACAAGGGTAGCCATTTGCTAACTTGGTTGTCAATGAATTGCACATTAGCAAGGCAAAAATTATATGTTACTTTGAGAAACTAATCCCTTTCAGTGTCTGGATTAGATCGGTTAAAATTTCTACTCACGCCAAAGTATCCTTCAGCTATTCCCTTGTGGTCTATGTCAGGTTTCAACAAAGCTGATATTCCAGTTTCCCAAATTAGCCTATATCCAGTACTTATCTCAAAGTCAGCAATATCTCCCCACTCCTTCCAAATGGAGCTTATTAAATATGGGGGGGAGTAATGTCTGTATGCATATATGTCCTGTATGCATACAGACATTACTCCCCCCCATATTTAAGCCTCTTCTTCCTTGATAAATATGTTGCAAAGCAGCTTGATCCCATCAATGCATTTTGCATTACTATATGTTGTCTCTTCTGTCACTTGCATTAAACGAATTTATCAAGGTGTCTTTGGTACACCTTGGACTCCATTTCATTGCACAGGAGTGCTTCCCCCTCCCCCCTCCCCGCTCCTTCCAAGTGCCTAAATCAGGTCAATTGAGGAACAGCAGCAGAGTCATTATGTGACAGACGAGACCGCCTTTGGGAAACTGGCAGACATGAAAGTACATTGGTGGGGGGAGACTTCAATTAATTTGATAGAGAAGCAGCCCAGTCCTCCTCTCTTTGAAAAGAAAAAAAAAGAAAAAAGAAAGAAGATGAAGAACTGAGGAGCCATGCAATTTTCTGACAGGAACTTGAAGAAATAACCAGACAAATATGTGCAATCTCGGAGCCAATCTTTGGGAATCAGGCTGACATAAATTATCTTTGAAAAATGCTGATCGGAGAAAGGGGTTTGCTTCCAGCTCCCTTCCACAACACTATGGGATTCTGTCCTGACAGCCTTTAGTAGAAACTGCTCAGGCAAGGTTTAAAAACAGGTTGGTGTCAGGAGCCATCTGAGTTTATTTCTGCAGATGAGGAAGAACCCTGCCCTCATTTATATATATATGGGGGGGGAAGCCTAGAGTAAATTATTCTGAGGACAATATGGTAAATGATTCTCTGGATCTCAAGGAGAATATGGAAAGCTGGAAAAGGTGCATAAAAGAGCAACCAAAATGATCAAGGGACTGGGACACCTCCCCTGAGAGGACCTTTTACAATATCTGAGATTTTTTTAGTTGAAAAATAAAGTGGTGAGGCGCCCTCATTACATGTTTAGGTGCAAGGCAAGAACATTCATTTTCTCCCAGGCCTTTGGCTAATTAACCAATTTATGGCCTTTTGAATGTGTATGGGGGCATTGTTTTTGCTTATTACTTACTATGTTTTTATATTGTAAACAGCACTGTGAATGTCAGACGAAGGGGTTTATAGAAATTTAATAAATTTAATAAATAATAATTTAATAGAATTAGCAATCATGCTTGCTTAAGGTTTTAGCGGGCAATGACTGTGTCTGGAATCAGAGGTCTGTTCATGAAGCACTGAAAGAGCATCATAGCCACATGCTCCTCCAGACTCCTCCCTTCAACTTATCACATGCCAGCTCTGGCACAGAAATTCTGGCATATATTAAGCAAGAATTACCTGTAACTTCTGAACTAGGGAACTCAGATTTAATATCAGTTAACTAACCAGAATAATAAGCTTGGTCCTGACTTATTATCCTGGTTTCTTAAGCCAATTGGTCCCTTGGCTGAGACATAACAGGGGATACTGGCTTAATGCAAACAAAGATATTCATGCCAAAGTCTGTGTGTGATGGGAGGAGGGAAGGAGCATGAAGCTATGACACTTGCTAATGGCTTCATAAACCATGGTTTATGAACCATGAATGAACTTTATAAACCATGGTTTATGAAGACATGGATGAACATCCAAATGCAGCCAATCAGTTTAAGCACTACATTGTCCTTGGCTTGCTGTCTATTTCCAGCAAGTAATTACAGTGCTGTGGGCTAAAGCAGAACCATAACTTAGGAAAGTAACGTCAAAAATAGGAGTGAAAAAGGATGAACAGGAACTCACAAATAATGCTTATTTCAAGGAGCAACTTAGGTTTTTTTGTACAGCTCCATAACATTAAATGGGATGGGTGTGCACTAAGAAATTGCTGGGTGGATAGTATTTGACTCTGGGACTCATTGATCAAATAAAAAAGTTGACCTAAAGTTATCAGGTCTGCCCTCATTAATCCTTGTACTACGAACTATTCAGAGGACTGGAAGTGAGTAATTCAAAAGTTCAAAAGCAAAGCATTAAGAATGAGAATCTCTGTATTTCTGCCAATAAAACCAAAGTATCATTTCAAGGTTAACACATTAACCCGTACAGAGCAAAATTTAGATAATTTAAAACTGTATCTAAGGTTTCTGGCATTTTTGTGAATTCACATTAGTCGTTGACACTGATTTCAATATTTTAGAGCACAAATGTTTTGGCAATCGAATTCCTGTGTCCTGTGAATGATATTCCTCCAAGGTTCATGTACTGTAGGCAGATCAAACATAATTTAAAATGATTGACGCCAAGTGCTTTACTGTGCAAATTATCAAGTATGATACTGGACTTAATTTCCATAGATTTGCTCATTTTTATAAAGAAGAAGCCTGTTTTAATTTATGCAAACCTTGCACTGTTAGAAGGTCAGCTGTTCCAAGTACCGGTAAAGAATGTCAATATGTCTGCTACTTTCTAAAGTGTGCTGTAGAAAATGTCTATGAAGGGTCCAAAGTTTTTAGTGCTGGGACAACGACCCCTTTCTTTATGCATTAGGATCGAGAAACCATTGCAGTGCAATGCAAGAGTCTTGCACAATGGGATTTTTAAATATAGGGGTAGGTTGGCCGGGCGATAGTGCCTTATTCTTTGCGCTCTTAAAAGGTAAAGGTAAAGGACCCCTGACCATTAGGTCCGGTCGTGACCGACTCTGGGGTTGCGCGCTCATCCCGCTCTATAGGCCAAGGGAGCCAGCGTTTGTCTGCAGACAGCTTCCGGGTCATGTGGCCAGCATGACTAAGCCGCTTCTGGCGAACCAGAGCAGCACACGGAAACGCCGTTTACCTTCCCGCAGGAGCGGTACCTATTTATCTACTTGCACTTTGATGTGCTTTCAAACTGCTAGGTTGGCAGGAGCTGGGACCAAGCAACGGGAGCTCACCCCGTCATGGGGGTTCGAACCGCCGACCTTCTGATCAGCAAATCCTAGACTCTGTGGTTTAACCCACAGCACCACCCGCGTCCCTTAGCCCTCTTAAGAAAAGGTAGAAAAGCTCTGATGCTCTAATGCTATTAAACTTTGACTTGACACTACAGCATAAGATTCAGAACAGATTTGCCTTATACTGGGTGCCAGCAGATTTGGTTCCTTTGGGGTAAGGTCCATGGTTCAGTAGCTTTGCATGCAGTAAGTCCAAGGTTGAACCCACAGCATATCCAGTAGGACAGGGAATGTTCCCATTCTGAAACCCAGGAAAGTCACTGGCAGTCAGCACAGACAGTACTGAGCTAGATGACCTATTTGCCTGACTTGGTATACGACAAAACCCTCTGTTCCTAAAGTCCTACACATAATGAGGTTTATGTGCAACCTCCAGGTTTGGGAGGCCATATGCCTCTGTTTGCATGTCATTTGCTAGGGAACAAATGGTTCCCCATGATAAATAGGAAGACACAAAGTTTTGGGTTTTTTTAAAGGCATAATTTTTATTTGAACCTGAAGTAGTACATCTGCCCTCTGAAACAGTCTGAGCCAAATTGACCCACTTCCTGAAGCACTGAAGCATGGACTGAACCCAGTCTTGTGTTCAGTGCACAATGTTATTTCAAAATTAGATATTCAGGAAAATATAAAATATTTGAAGGATACATCATAGATCTCTTGAGTTTACATACACAGCTCTGATCTGAAGGATAAATTATACATTTTTTCCAGGTTTTACAGATTTATAAATTATAAAATATCATAAATTATGATGTGGACATAATGCTGTTGGAGCAAGGGACTAAAGAGGAGAGAATTAACATATCCCTAGAAGATCCAGTTTAGAAGCCTGAGGTTTCTTAATATTTGGTTCACATTCCACTGAACTCTAAAACACTTTAATTAGTTGCCATTCACATATAGACAAATGAAGCAAGATGTTTTGCAGCATGCACACCATTCATTTTCTTCTATTTCCATTAGAAATAGATAATTTCCATTTGGTAAGTTATCCAAATATTAATAAAATATTTTTATTTCCTGAAAATATTCAGAGTAGTTTAAGAACTGCTTTGATGCATTTGGTTGATACTGCTAAGTTAGTGCTAACTAGCAGTGAGAATAAGATAGAGATACGTAGATAGATACAGATAGGGATAACATAGTACATGAATGATGTAACTCAGGAACACCACCTCCGGGCCAACTGCTTGAGTGTGGGTAGGTAATTCAGCTCCAGCTGTTTCCAGAGTATACATTGTCTGACTCCGTTTCTATGTGGTTTTGGCCATGGAAGTGTGTTTTGGTATGGAACTAGGTATGGAGGAAACACCTGAAAACTGTGTTTGGGTTGAGCTGACTTACACTTATCCACACATATTGAACTCTTCCAGGCAACTTGTTTATTGAATATTCATCCTTGTTTGCTTCTACAAAGTTCACACACAGGTTACACTATATGTAGACAAGCATAAAAATTATGTATTTATTTTATTTCCTCTCATTCTTTTCTGGGGGAAAAAAGGTATAGGGAATGTTTCTTTAAAAGATTTGGGGTGATCTTTCTTCTTCTTAAGGTTCCACATATTTGATGGGTTCCCCCCAATCATTTACCAAGCACATAGCATGCTATATTAAAGTGTGTCATTAGCTTGAAGGCATATTGTGAAGCAAGCTGACAAATCACTTCTACCTGTAATACATTTGTTAATTGGAAAAATATGTCTCTGTCAATTGAGCTCATTCTAAACTGTTTTCAGTTCATTAACTGAAAATATTAAACTTTAACTTTCCGACAAAGTTATAGATTTTAGTTAGTGCTCATTTTAAGTACAGAGTTCCCCCTTCACTCCTGCAAAAGAGACCTGTTGCGAATAAATGGCATGGAAATTGCCTTGACACCTGTGCTGAAAGTGTTTTAAGATTTTTTGTCAGCTGCAATTACACACTTAGGTAAGAAATCTAGACTGAAAACAATGGTCTCATTAGTCAATTTCAGTAGAATTTGCCATCCACTGTGACAAGATGTATTAGACATTAGGGATTCAGTTGCCGTCAATGTTGGCTATTATCTGTATTAAAATATATTTTCCCCATATGAGCCAATAATTCTTCAACATTTGGGTTCATACCATCACACAAATT